TTTTAAAAGAGAAAGGTTAAACACAAATGTGTATTTCGCAAATAGAGCCCCAGTTATTAAACCAATATATTTTTTTCCAGTTTTAACTGTTTCAGCACTAAAAATTCCCGACGGCTCTGACAAATTTACGGCCGGACTCGTGGCTGGTCTCGCAGCCGGTCCCACGGCCAATCTAAAATTCAGTGACCAAGGAATATCCCCAAACTAATGAACGCAACTCAATAAGAATTGGAACACGTATTCATTAGGACTTAACGATGATGTTCAGCTCGTGAAAACATCTTTAAATGTTACCTTCATTTGGGACATATATGGCGATATGGGCCGAAACTCGCAGTGATCAAAGAATTTCTTCCAAACAACTGAACAGATTAGAACGAAATTTTGAATATAAATTCCTAACTATCAAACGGTTATTTTTAGCTCATGAGAATTTATTAGATTCGGAGTTGTGTTCTGCACGTGTATACAAATCGTCAAACAAACGTATGAACTTCTGACTTTGACTTCGCGGACTGCAGGCCCCCAACTGCCCCTTTCTTCCTCAGCTCCTCCCCCCAGATCTTTGCACCGCCCCCAGTGGGGGCGATATCGCCCACTTTGGGAACGACTGGTCTATGCGGTCTGAGCATTAATTGAGGTCAATTCAAATATTTTATCGGTCGCTTTAAAATTTTGGAGAGTTCAAATAGTTTCAGGTGACTATCAATAACGTTTTCTGATTAGACGGAAAGTGGAACACAAAAAACATTGTATTTGATGGGGTACCTTAACATTTTATTCGATCATATTTTGTTGCAACGATGCAATTCAACCGTTTTGAAATCAGCGTCATCCCGTGCAAATGCTTTGGCTCGCAATGAAATTGCACGTTAGGTATAAGTTTTACCGCTTACGTCAGTTATCTATTCAAAATAAAATAAATAATTAATACAATCCCGTAAAATAAAATCCGTCTAATATAGAAAGAGAAATATTTTGAAGGAATCCGTTTCGCAAAAATTTCATTCGTATGCAACCTTATTTCTCTAACTAGCTTCCACCTTTTCGTGATATTTGCTTGCAAATTTTTTTATCTTAGTTTAATGCCGGCAGTATAACTTGATTATGATCTCGTTCTTATGGTGCTTGTTCTTTTCAACCTTGAAGTACGTTGAGCTGAACATAGGTTTTACCAGAAATGTTGATGACATTCGAGCACATTGCAGTTAATATTGATACTAGTTAACGCAGGAGTGGGAAAAGAATGACTATTCTACTTTGAGACTGATCAATGTCAGACAATTCATTTCAAACCTCCTGCATCCGAGACTCAATTTTGCTCAGCGCCATTCAAGATGTTAAAGCGGATCTCGCTGCAAAACTATATTCATGTTCAAACTAGCGACATGTAGCAAGCCCATTTCGCACATTAGCTGCCTAACCTCATTAGTATTACTGACTGTAAGGCCTTAAGTCTACGTGGTAACTTGCATTCTTGTGCAACTCAAATCGTATGTTCAACATTAACTAAATTCCACTTCGCAATACATCACGTCAAGCCTCGTAATAGCTGCCCCTGTAACATCATCGCTACAACACGTGCAACTCCACGTACTTTTCTTTACGCCGCGTGCATCTCCACGTGCTCCTCGTTAAACCACGTGCATTTTCACGTGCTTCTCTATATGCCATATGTACCTCTACGTGCTTTTCACTAACACACGTGCCACGACACGAGATTCTCGTCCTTGCAACTTGCTTGCTCTCGACGCGCTGCTCATCCCACGCGCTGCTCATCCCACGTGCCACTGCACGTGCTACTTTTCATCCCACGTGCCACTCCACGTGCTACTTATCATCCCATGTGCCACGCCACGCGCTACTTTTCATCCCACGTGCCACGCCACGTGCTACTTTTCATCCCATGTGCCACGCCACGTGCTACTTTTCATCCCATGTGCCACGCCACGTGCTACTTTTCATCCCAGGTGCTACGCCACGCGCTACTTTTCATCCCACGTACTTCTCAACCCACGAGCCATGCCACGTGCTACTTTTCATCCCACATGCCACGCCACGTGCTACTTCTCATCCCGCCACGCCACGTGCTCCATCCATACCACACGCGCCACGTGTTCCTACCGGCCTAGCCACCTCTGGAGACGCGTTCGTCGCCTCGTCACTTCACGTGTTCCAGTTTTCCCAGTTCCTCCCGTGTCCGCCATCTTCACGCAAGTCTCTTGGGCTTGAATCTGCTTGGCATCAGATTTAACTGTTCATTTTATCCGACATTTTTACCTTGCATATTCTATTATTTAAATATGTCTCATTCAAATCCTAAATTACAATGCTAAGGTTGTGAGCTTCTTTTACTAAGTTTTATATGGATCACTTCATCATTTAAATCTCTGGCCGTAAATACGAGTCGATTCTCTGAAATATAGGAACAAAAACTTAATGTGGACGGTTAAATTTACCCCCACAGGGTTACTCCCAAATAACATCCCTACTCCATGCTAGGCTATTATGTAATTTTTAAGTATACGTGTATAGATTTCTATGTGTAGCTTCAGATTGAATTCAATGCCTGATCTTGGATTAAAGTCTTCAATCGTTGAAGTCTTCTTCAATCTTCAATCTTCACTGTCTTCGAACAGTTTTCCTTCGATTCCGCTGTATCTTTTATACCCAAAGAGTAGGCAGGGAATGGCTCCTCGTTAACTTGCAATTAACAGACGAAACGTGTTATTCACGAAGCCTGCAGATCTCCATAATCACGTTCGCCTAGCTACCGTTAAAAATATTCAAACTAAATCCGTACTAATTGATGGAAGACCTATTTCAACCCACATTTAGTGAAAAAAGTCCATTTAACTTCACTCCTGTAGTTCATAGAACGGAACGGAAGTTTCCCTTTTCCGCTTCCTCATGATTCTACTGGTATGAATATTCTATTTTTATTGCCGGGTAATATCACGACACACTATGTGTGTTCGACGCACCCCCGAACAACCCATGTAGACTGCCAGAGATAGACTTCAAACCCTATAGAAGAACATTTGAAAACAATATAATAGATATGGTAACAACTATACTTAACCTGATTTTGGACTAGAATAATTTTTTAATTTTTGGACTAGAATAATTTAAATATTTTTCTACCAACGTATTCTAGCGCTTCAACAAAGTGATGAATTACTTTTTCCAAACTTGTTACCGGCCGAAACCCTTTTTTGCACAATATCCATAAATTATTGTAAACAAAATTACTGCGATTAAAGAAAAGTTCGTTTATTAAAAGAAGTTGAAACAGTGGCAATTTCATATGTTCATTTTTGTTATAATACTAAAATGTTTTGAATAACATTTTATGCTACCGTCAACTAGCGTAAGATTTGCCAAAGTTTAAAGCTTTTTATAGTTTTATCACTTCAATATTTTATGACTTTGATTGTTATAATGTGTCTTCATGTGTAAAAAACTTTTAATTGTTAAATTAAAACCCTTTAGAGACGACTCAATCACTTTTTAATATTATCATGATTTGTTTCTGGTACATGGAACAGGTTTCTCTCAGACACTACTTTTGGAGGATTTCTCTATTGACAAACGGCGACTGGTCGTAGGTCAGGCCAACTTGTTTTTGAGGGCTAGCGCAAAAACTTAAGCCTCTTTTCTATGCATTCAACCGAAGGTCCTTCTTCAATAGGCTAAAAACATTTTGTTCATTATTACGACCACAAAGTCTTTGTCCATTATCACAAAGTCTTCAGGTTTCAGCTCAACTTGAATTTCTTCAATGTAATGATCTTGCTTGCCGAGGTTCAAATAAAATTAGATTTAAGAGACATTTATATTAATTAAAGCTGACAGAATTGCGCAAACATAAGGATACCAGATTAAAGTTAATTAAAGCACAGCAGCGGCACAGTGTAGGTAACGTATTGTTCTACGGTGACTTCCATCAAAGAACAAAGTCTAATTTACATTCAATTAGACAAATTACTTCACACCGACATCAAAATAAAATAAAGCATTATATCAACAAACAAAATATTGATAGAACCCTAGGAAACACGAGATAGCAAATATGGTATCAGCAGATACAGTAGAATGTAAATTCGACAATAGAACATTATCCGAACCTGTGCAGTTGCTGAATTACACACACAAATCCTTGCACGTAACCCAAGCTCGCATCTAATTCGCTCAGTCCTACGGGATTGTCAATCTGCTCTCTTACTTCTAAATTCAACGCCGGCTGGCTACTCTGATTTTTTTATTCATTTAGTGATCTTGGAAATCCAAAATATTCTGCCAAGATCGCTCACTCGTCTCGATAATAGGTTTTTTTCGTTATTAACGATAAGATATTTCCTACATTCATCATAAGGCGTGTCAAGGTATGCCTGCTTTTTCTTATAATATTTCTTCTAGATCAGAAAATGTTTTGCTTTTCCCCATCAGACTTTTGCCCCTTCAGAAGTTTTGCCCAATATTTTTGTTTGAATCCTTACTGATATATATCCCACATCAACTAGTGAATGAGTACAATTCGAGCTCAGCGCTGACTACCAGACTGACCTCAAGAGTTTTCCCGGTTCAGTTTAATCGTACGAAATACTTCTTTAGTATTGTTCACATAGAACAATATTCATGATAGGTGAAGAAAAGAATATTAAATTCACGTTTTTGTAGACTAAGCTTCAATTTCTCCATCCATGGCATAAAATATGACCCAGTGATTGGATGGCATCACTCTATTGATATTACCCAATCCAGTTCCCAATGCTACTTTGTAACGGTTAATGTTTTTTTGTTGCGCTCATCCTCTAACCACTTTCGAGCCGAAGTGTTCCACTTCTTCCTTATCAGCCTCGAAACTTCAGCATGTCTGCACAAAAAGCTGATGTGAGACACGCAATTTCAGGTTGGTTATACGCACGATGCTGCCAGCAAGCGTGGTGCTACACGGATTGAGTACAGTTGCTGTGGCGGTCAATCGAGCGCCGCAGTTCCTCAGCAGTGCAGTGAGTGCCGGGCGTGCTGCTGCTCCAGCCGTCTGAGTTGCAGACGACGCGTCATGTGAACAACCGCTGCCATCAACTGGCTTTTGATTCTACAGACGCAATTCAATTCAAAAGTACGCATTTCAATTGAATTTCTACTCTTTTGTTTTTCGCTTTAATTATTCAGTTCCTGAAAGCATTATTTAAATTGAAACAATATTGTGCTCATCTTATGAGAGATTCATAACAAACAGGAATTTTGTTTGCGTTACAATTGATTTCATTTAGTTTCAAAGAGTTTTGATCATAATACATAACTATAATTCGTCTTTCTTTGCAGATGATGCCATCAATGAAAGTTTCCACCGTGTGCGCTGCACTGCTCATCTTAATGTCTACCGCTAACGAAGGACTTCACGAAGATGATGCCTTACTTGTTATCACGAGCCATGCCTCAAATAATCCTCGAGCGTTTAAAATACTTCAAGCACCGTTTCCTATCAGACTGGAAAATAACTCTAAAACCGAATCAAACTTTAAAAGTAACGACGCAGGAGTGGAAAATCATTTCAAACCTGCAGGCCACGTATCAGACAGTAGCTATGTAAGAAGAAACAGGATACGTTCCTCAAAAATGACAACAAAATCAGATTACTTTTTCGACGATCTTAACAAAACAATGGTTGAATTAGTAGCGACGTCAGATATTCATCCTCTGCACTCTCTGGTGCTTAAGCTCAGTCACATGCTTCACCAGGTGGGTGTTCTGGGTGAGTGTTCACTGACGACCTTCCCCCGCCTCCAGGACATGATTCTTCGAGTCATTGACTACGCTTTTCTCGGACCGTCGAAGACTGGAAATAAAGGCGATGATTATGTCCTTGGTGAGCACCCTATAAGGAATATACTTCGGTTGTTTGCTGAAAAGCGCAAATATAATAAATGCCCTGCAGTGACTAATACGCTGCACTCCCAGAAGACAAGAATTGATGAATTTCTCTATGGGCTGGATCCCGCTATTAAAAAGTACCTCTGGCAATCTGTTTCCAAGTCACCTATACAGGTAATTCCGAAGCCAATCGAAGATTTAGATGGATACGCCACGGAATTTTTCAGATACCTCTGTGTTCATGGGCTCGGAAGTATCAGTGACAAATTTGAATTTTGCAGTGAAAATTCGCTTAGTTCTTCAAACCTTTCAACGGAGACAAATGAAATTCTCATGAGAAGCCAACGTGTGAAAAGGCTAGCGCAACCAGACGATTACGTTCTAGATAAAATATTTCGTCGCGCGGGATACGCTCAAGACCATTACTACGAGAAAGAAGCAGAAGAAGATATCGTCATAGTGCTCGACGAAGAGGAGGAAAAAGATGACAAGACATTCTTGTTTTTTCCCAAGATATTCGTTACGGTTGGCACTTACATTCTCCTGGTCCTGCTCAGCCTCAAAGCTTTTGTATTTTCTCACGCAGGAGAAAAAGGCGATATAGGTGAACCAGGAATGGATGGAGCTAAAGGAGATAAAGGCTTGAAAGGATTAAAAGGGTTCAAAGGAAAAATAGGATATCCTGGACAGAAAGGAGACAAAGGAGACCCCGGGGCAGATGGTGCAACGGGAGAAAAGGGGGACAAAGGAGAAACTGGAGAAAAAGGACACCCAGGTGAAAAAGGACATCCTGGAGAGAAAGGTGACACGGGGGAAAAGGGAGACAAGGGACAGAAAGGACAGAAGGGGCAGCGGGGCTCACCAGGACACAGAGGGCCTCGAGGACCAAGAGGGCGTCCAGCATTTCACAGTAGCAGTCATCACAGGAAGAAGCGACTACTGGATACGATCGGACTCTCTGGCGATCAGACATTGTTCGATAAAATTGATAGTGGAAGCAGCAGTAATAGTTCAATTACTGAACTATCTTCCGGTATCCTAGGTCCAGGATTAATAAAGTCTCATGGAACTTTCAGCGTCATCCCGGTTACGTTGCTACCAATTGACCAAGAGAATCAACCTTCACCAACGACGAGTAACAATCATTCGGAAATCGATACTCAGTTACGATTTCCAGTCGGGCCGGACGGTAAACATGCAGTAAGATTACTGATGGAAAATTCTAGCAATGAAATTGATTCGACTCCGTCTTCGAACGAAGAAGCAAGTTTTGCTCGCATCCGCCGAGAAGTTCCAGAGCTCCTGCAACAGATGGAACGGGCAGCACAAGAACGCTTGCCCTACGTTCGGTATCGGGACCACGAGTTTGTCATCGCAGCCATGAACGAACTTTGGCGACAGCACCTGGATCCCGAGGGGTGCGTACCGTGTAGTCTCTTCGAGTATCTCATCGACCAGCCAAGCATGGACATCGATTCCTATATAATGTAAGTTGTTACTAATTATAAAACACGTTAAACATCGTGAGATAACGTATCACGACAGATGCACCATAAATAACCGCATTTGTATCTACATTTGACTGGCGTTTGCTTATAGACAAAATCTAATTTTTTGCATGGGCTGATAACATTCTTATTCTGATGCTACAAAAATATTCTGTCCTGCTGATTATAATTCTTAAATAAGTCAATGATTTGAACGATCAAATTTAAATCAGTCAACAACGATCTTGATTACGCACGTATAGATCATAACTCAGGAAATCATTTATTCAAAAAAAATATTTTTCATGAAAATATACGGTATAACTGATTTACTGCAACACCTAATGCGTGTAATAAGATATTGCCCTTCTGTAATTATAATTATTGATTATTATGTTAAATATTTTACTTGACATGTTTCTCATTCGAATCTCCCTTTTTCCCGTAACACCTCCATGGTACAGCAGCGCCTAACACTCATGTCCTCTTTCCCAGCACCTGGTGCTGGGCGGTTACTCACGTGTTACTCCTATCCCCACACCCTCTGGTAATCATTTGTTCCCTCACTTGTTACTCACGTGTTACTTTTCTCCCCCCCCCCTGCGCCTGCTACTCACTTGTTCCCCCACTTGTTACTCATGTGTTACTCTTCTCCCCCTCAGCGCTTGCTACTCACTTGTTACTCACGTGTTACACTTCTCTTTCCCCAGCGCCTGCTACTCACTTGTTACTCACGTGTTACAATTATTCTCTTTCCTCAGCGCCTGCTACTCACTTGTTACTCTTCTCCCCAGCGCCTGGTAATCATTTGTTCCCTCACTTGTTACTCACGTGTTACTCTTCTCCCTCAGCGCCTGGTAATCATTTGTTCCCCCACTTGTTACTCACGTGTTACTCTTCTCCCACTGCTACTCACCTGTTCCCTCACTAGTTACTCACTTGTTACTCTTCTCCCCCCAGCGCCTGCTACTCACTTGTTCCCTCACTTGTTACTCACTTGTTACTCTGCTCCCCCCCAGCGCCTGCTACTCACATGTTACTCATGTGTTACTCTTCTCCCCCCCAGCGCCTGCTACTCACTTGTTACTCACGTGTTACAATTCTCTTTCCCCAGCGCTGGGTTCGCCCACGTGCTCGGGGACTCGGGTTCTCTGCAGCTCCTGGACGACGTGAGGCGCGGCCGGCAGCGCGGCGTCAAGATGCGCTGCAAACGAAAGCAAAACTCCTGCTCGCTTGCTTATATCTCGGACATACCGCGGTGATTACCGCAGCCGAAATACTCTTCAATATCAAATGTGTGTGAATTGCTTGTAATCAATGTTGCTTCAAGGACGCCTATATTGAACAGTCTTAGATGTATGAAAGCGTATTCGAAAGGAGGTATTCAGATGTTGTACTTTCATTTAAATGGATTAACAAATAGCAGGCGTTTTCAGCCGACATGTTCTGTTGTGTTTCGTCAATATTTTACAATTTCCTGATTGACCAGTGTTGCATTATCACACCCCAAGGATCAAATAGTTCAAAACAGTAACAGAGCCACTTTTTATATCTTTATATGCACGGGTCTGAATTTAATCAAACTATCTGGTGAATCAAAGAAGTGACTAATTAATAAGACATTTTAAGCTAAACAAACTCACTGACGGTCCCTTCAACTGATAACACTTCACGGTTACTTACTATTTTTGTGGTCAAATTTTGTTGAATTTTTCCGTATGCAGCCAATATCATGACGAAAAACATGATGAATTATTTTATCCATTGATAAGTATTTGATAGTACGATAGTTTATCAAATAGTAGATAGTAGATTTTTGATGGTAGATTTGATAGTCAATCTATTTGTTTAGACGAAGTTTAAAAGTTGGATTACTTTTTTGGCAAATCATACCTTATTCTTTAAAAACATAGTCATGTAATTAATAAAGGTTTAAACTTTGAGCTAATTTTCATTACGTATCATATAAAGTTATTTCATTTTAGGCATCGATTCGTTTGTTCCTTCCCATTGAAGTTGGGCTTGTGACGAGCTTGTACAAGCCTGTAGCATCCTATGTATAGTCACAAGTGTCTTCGCCGCGTGTTTGAGACATATCCATAACCCATGTCCGAAAATCCTCACTTCGAATGCATATTTGAAGTTTAACTGTAACCCGAGATCATCAGGCTAAGGGTTGCGATCATGCAAGAGCTCACACTCCTCCTAACTGCTCGAAAAAAGATATTTGGTTCAATGATGACTAGACAAATTGAGGCCACAAGAATAAACGGAAACAAAGGAGAATTTGCGTACTCGGCGACCTGCTGGTAATAACAGTTGAATAATAACGGCAAAATTCGAATTTTATTAATTTCAGCTGAGATCCCGTATGAATGTCTCAAGCAATATATACTAGTCAATGTGTTTATTGAAAAAAGTTTACAAATAAATTAAATACCACTAAGTTAAAAATTAATGTTTTTGATTGTGATTAATCAAAAACAAAAACCTTAATTACGTGCTCCTAATATTGAAGATAGAAATAAAAATTAACTATGTCATGTTACACTGAACTGACCGCAATAGCCTTTTTACTTTTCAGGTGAAGATAGTCATCTTAGTCTTACGATTTTAATCATTATCAGAATCTAATTTTTACGACAATAATTCTGCCATCAGTGACGATTTGGAAAGACATCAATATATGTCACGCAACAACTGCGCATATGTTAATTTGCGAGGCTGCATGATGTCACAAATGCCGCAATTTTGGCAGGAACAGAAGTTTTCGGAAGTTTTTAATAGTCTGAGATGCATCACAGATATCGACAGGCTCCTCTACAGAATGACCGTACGTCAACGATTCCATCGAACATTATTATCCAGGTTTCATTATCATAATGACAGTGATAGACCAACCAGGTTTTGCACATTCTAATGGGCAGCGATAGAACAATCATGTTCTATTAGATCATTAGAAGGGATAGGTAATCTACATATGTCTTAAAGGTACTGATATATCATCCCTGTTTACCTTATACCTTTAGGGCTGGCATTGATATTTCATGTCACATTATCTCATAGGCAGGTATTTTTCCTCCAGGTTGAATTGTAACGTGGGCGATGATGAATCAACTATATTATATTGTCTTATCATCAGTGGCATTCAGAGAATATTCCGTGGAAGCGTCATGGGGAAAATTTCATAAAACTTATAAAAAAACGAAAAATCAGTGCTTATTTATCTCTTCGAATTTACTACAAATATATTTGGAGAGTACTAAAATGAGAGCTCATAATTTTTATAATGTTGATAAATACGATTCTAAATCGCCTAACTCCTTTGATAATGAACTATCATAAACCGTTACATCGATCGTTGAATGCTTATTTATCTCTTCGAATTTACTACAAATATATTTGGAGAGTACTAAAATAAGAACTCGTAATTTTTATATGTTGATAAATAGGATTGTAAATAGCCTAAACTCTTTTGATAATGAACTATCATAAATCGTTACACCTTGAGCTCGTTATATATTGTTTTGCAATTTGAACGGCCGGAAATTTCTCAGGTAATTTCTGAAGGGTTTAACTATCAGAACAATCGAGATCAACTTGAATGCAGTATTTAATAAGTACACGCATTTCATAGGTCATTTGCCATTGAATGGAACAGCGCAAAATGTTTCAGTAACTCTTGCTTACCCTAAATCTTTAACCATGGAAATGAAATATCTCCCTTTACTTGAAGTCAGGCAACAAAAGTTTTTAGATGGAGTGTATTTAAATTATATTCATGTAGAAATTCATACACATATCATAGATTTTCTTTCGAAAATAAATTTATATATACTTCTGAATTAATAGAAAGCTTCCTTTAGTCTAATTAACTTATATTTCTCAAAAATTTATATAATAGCGGTTTAAGCGTTTATTAGGCCGTAGGCCTTTGGCTGATTCTTAACATCGCAGAACACTCGCAGTTTGTTGCGGTCTCGAACACGCAACGCACTGCTTCAACTTTTGCTGTGCTTAACCACCTGGGCCCATACTTTCAAAAAAAGTTAAGAGATCGTAAGTTCATCAGCCAATCATTGACGGCCTTTCAAGCAAAATCCGCCAATAATAGACAAGCAAATAGAGCGTAAGTACTTACGTTCACTGAAGTATGACCCCAGAATTTTGAAAGTATGACCCGAGGCCTCCTCGCCAATTTAGACCAGAAACCGACCGAAGCACAGAGCTGGGATCGAACCCGCAACTCTCTGCTCCACTCCTAGTACTCTGAACTGTCCCCACTGGGCTACCCTACCCCACATCAAGGACATGCTGGCTTTCAACTAATCAACCTTGTTGCTCTCAAATATCGTACATTTTATTACTTTAAGCATTAAACAGCAAAGAGACATTGGCGCCTATAACTACAGGCATCGAGACAGTTAGGTATAGGCATTCGATGGCCTTATAATGGTAGGCAAAAGCCATCAGCACAAGTTCAAGCGGTGCTTCTGCTCGCTCAGAGATATGTGTCATGTTTATATAATTTAAAGTATTCTTATGATAGTTTGCTTCAGAAACACGCGTTTGGTTTTACTTACACATCAAAATATTGTAGCTTCTCATTGTAATACATTTCTCGTATATTTTGCGGAACTATTCGAATCGATATTCTTGTTATTAGTTGTCAATATTGGAACTGCACTTGTTTTTTCGGAGAGGTTTTCGATTGAATTTACATCCAGTTTAAACCACTGGCTTGATGTGAGACAAAATTCACTTTGATTAAAATTTTTCATCCCATTGAACTGTATTACTAAACTTTTACAACAACTTGCGATTTGTCCAATCCCCATGCATATTAATGTACTAAAAATGATAGTGATAAAATTCCTGCAGGATTCTGTGACAAGAGAATCGAATATTACTCTCATACCATTAGTAAAGAATACTTCATGACATGGCCTACCAAAAAGGGATATATGATTGATAAAGATAAATGTTACCACGTCGTATTCATTTTATTACACATATTTTTAATTTAACAACAAGAAATCAAATTATAATATTTTAGTACGCTGCAAACCGGCGATAATTTAATATATTCTATGTCATAAATTTAATGTTAGAGATTTTGAACACAAAGAAATCGCTCAATAAATTCTTAATAGCGATGATGATTTATTTTATTTTGTGTTTTCTTTGCATGGCGAACTTGCGATTTAAGCTTTCTTTAAGTGACTTACATATTATTAGGCCGTAAGTTCGCGAAAATCTCACGATCCATGTATTATTTGCTAAATGTATGATATATCGTGCTTTAATCTAAATTTATTTTATTTAAAACTAAAAACGACTGGCAAAGAAGATAAAATGAATTTACTATTACGTGGCTTCTCTGTGGCTTTGAAATGATTGGCTAACAAGAGAAAAAACAAAATAATCATATAAGATTTCAAGACACTTTACTGGACACATATCCAGTTTCAGAATAAATTCCTAATGGATTCTATAACAATGACCACAGCTTAGTTTTGTATTTCAAGACTGCACGAACTGCCGGTCTTCACGCACGACATCTTGACGCCGCGCTGCCGGCCGCGCCTCACGTCGTCCAGGAGCTGCAGAGAACCCGAGTCCCCGAGCACGTGGGCGAACCCGGCGCTGGGGAAAGAGAATGGACATGTGGGTACGAGGTGCAAATACGATGCTATGGGCGATAAAATACGTATAGTTACTTGCAGCTGTGGAAGGAGTGAACCTTATCTACGAGGAAAAGGAACGTGTGAATATCAGAATATCAGGAGATGAGGAAACGAGCACGTGAGTATCAAGAACTAATGGGAATGCAACACGTGAATACCAGGAGTTGGGCATCGAATAAAACAGGAAGCGCGAGGACATGGTGTGAGTCGAAAAATGTAAAACATACGAGTCAATAAACTTTAAATTTTCAATATCTGTTTGGTTAAAACGGATAGTCTGAAAATTTCAAGTAATTTGTACGTCATATATAATTTACTTACACTATTAATGAGTCGAGGTTTATTGTGGGCTGTTCAAGAAGGAAGCTGAAAAGTGAGCATCTTAGGCATCCCTTCGTATTATATTTTCTCCATAGATCATTCACGGCATCTAAAACTTCTTCGTGTATGCCAATACCAAATGTCAAGGATGGATTTGTTTTTTTCGTGTGTTTATACACTTCAGCAGGAAGCGAAATGATTTCTTCACCCTTGGACCGACGTCGACGCGTTTGACCATTAAAATTTCCTCCAATGATACTAACGAGTTTTTCGTTCCTCACAGAAGTGAAATGAAGAGAAATTGCCGTCTTGTCCCGATTCCGTTCAATATCCACAGCCCTTGTGCTATCGCTTACATAATATTTGGGGGTAGCAAGATTGATGTTTTTCTCGGGGGAAAGCTCCATCGAGTTTTTGAATTTCGGGAACTGATTCTGATTTTCTGTTACTTCTTGTAAAACTTCGGTGTCGCCTTTCATACGAGCTGTATCCTTTACTGAATTTGTTTGCTTATTCACATTAGTCGCATCCGATAACATGGAGGTCTGGCTTATTTGTCTATTAGTAGAGGAATTTCCATTGAACGATTTTGAAATGTAACTTACTCCTGGTCGTGATTCGTTAAACTCATTAAATTTGTTCGGTACGACGTTTCGCACGGCTACGTCTTCGGAGAAGTTACTCAGGGGAGTAAGATAGTAGGAAGACTGATGGATGAATTTATTAAAATTCCCTGGAATATTGTTCGACTCCCTTTCTTGTGTAGATCGGGCGATCCTCTTCATTCCACGGCCGTTGCCACTTAACTTGAGCTGAGCGTCGATAAATTCAGTGAGCTCTTGGCTAGTGAAGCCCTCAATGATCCTGAGGTCTTCGTCGTCCAGCAGCAGGTGTTGGGTGAGCCCCTCGCGTTGCTCAGCGGCGGAGCCCACAACATCGCTGTCGTTGCTGCTGCGTGACACCGCTTCGGCGTGATTGTAATGGGTTCCATGATGGGTGTAATTGTAATGGGCTCCGTACTTTTGGTTGTGCTCGTGTGAGTGCGAGTGGTGGTGTTGATGATTGTGAATCACTTCTATACTCCGGGCGTACTTATGATCATTATTTTTACTTCCCTGAACAGCGATCAAAAAGCCGTCATAACCTCGATCCCCTATATACCCTTTGAAGCCCTTGTTGCCGATGTCTCCAGAAAAAACATGGCCTGCCTTTCCTTTGTTCCCCTTCAACCCTTGCTTCCCTTTTAATCCTTTCTCACCTTTTGATCCTCTACTGCCGATGTGTCCTTTTTGACCCTTGATTCCGAACCACCCCACGGATCCTTTATTGCCTTTGAAGCCTTGAATACCAACATCTCCCTGCATTCCTTTCTCTCCGATGTTTCCAGGCATTCCTCGATAGCCTTTCCAGCCTTTCCAACCTTTCTGTCCTTTAGAGCCCTTGACTCCTTCTACGGGCAACAAGTAGATGACGTATGCCAGACAGAATATCAGGCCATAGGTCAACAAAAAAAACGCCAGCTTAATCGGGTATAGGAATTTCAAATCCTTGTTGGACTCTGCTTCCACAAAATATATTTGTTCGGTATCCCCGTATGGATCATCATCGTTGCGTGAGATACCGGTACGTGTTATGTCGTCAATTATGGGCAAGAATCTCCTTTTTCTAGATTTATATGTAATGTTCATTCTGCTTGACCCTGCAAGTGATATAATTTTTCTTAGAGCTGCCAAGCAGCTGCCGGTTTCTATTGATCTGACACCCAAAGTGTGATAGCAAATATACCAGTAAATTCTTTCAAGTCCAACCAGCCTATAACTTTCTATTGTTTGTAGAAAAGACCGAATTTTTGAAGAAATAAAATCGATCAGGTCATCATCAAGCCTTTCAGTAACAAATCTGATTTCTGATTCTTTCACAATCGGATAATGCTTTATTATTTCACATTTTTCAACCGCTTTTTCAATGTTTTTTGCAAATCTTGACGCCAGTAAAGCCTTTTGTTTCCGTTCAAAAAGTCTCTTGTATTTTATGTCACCTTTGATTCGAGGAGGAGCCGCTTGCAGTATGTTTTCGAGAGCTCCGAACAAGTCAAGCTTTAGAAGTTCTTCGCAGTCTTTAAAAAAGCCTATTGTGCTAAAAAGTTCGTTAATGCGCATCAAGATGATCTGTAGGAATGATTGAGCTATTTCGCTCGAAGACCTGTAGTCATGTTCACGTACATATGAGTGACCGGCCGTCACGTTTCCTTCTAGCTGAAAAAGTCGTCGAGGTTCATCCAAATTCGATGTGTTCATTAAATTTCGTGTGTTGTTTTCATAATCCAACTTGCCGCCTAGTTGTTCATCATGGATGTGTTCTTCGTTCTTATATGCATTTCCCATGTCAGACTCCGGATTAGTTTTGCCAACGCTTTGGGGGGCCGCTAAGTGGCTCTGCTCGACATTCCCGGCGCTATCCATGTTTACTGGCTGCCATCCAGAGAATGCCGAATAATTTATTGTTTCATCCTCCTCCTGCTGATCAACTTCTGAAATTATTCCTGTGCCCGGAAAATGTTGTTCTTCACGATATTCTCCGGGGAAATATTGCCGACTAATACTGCGATGTAAACTAACGAGGAAAGGAACAGTGAAAAAAACACAACAAATAAGAAACAAACAGTTACTTCCTCTCATCATGAAAAATTGAAGTCTGCACATCTGAAACAAACGATTAGTAGTTAGTAGTGCCGAATTCTATAATGCACATTTTTATTGGAGCGAAATTCAACTAGTAGTCGTTGACTAATAATACTATTACAACCTTCTTAAGGCTACTCATGAATATGCATCTAGCCTCAGGAGGATTGACACACATGAAACTGATAGCCATCAAATTGCTACAACACAAGATGGGCGCAATTCTATGAAATAACACGCAATTCAATTCTATGAAATAAGTACACCTGAACTGCCTATCAACTAGTATCAACGCACTCTAAATCTCCACTATTAGAACAACAGTTCGCCGCATTGTCAACAAGCTGAACTTTATATAGCTGTGCAAGCATCTATATCTGCGTGGGATAAACAGGCGTCCGGGGGGAGCGGGCACTGCTTCGAGCATCTGTCACTACTACGCTAATTTAATTATATTTGCACTAAATTTTTCGTCATAATCATGGAAAAATGTCCGTACTAATACCAATGTTTACTCTAAGTAAAAACTATGCAACTCATTTTATTCGATAGTTTGTATTGTTTGAACGGCGTTTATCTCATGGCAGAGGCTCATTCGCTTACAAATCGGTACCGAGACCACGTTTAATCGACTGAACTTGACAGGATATGTTTTTCTCCCTCATATGAAAGAGTACGCTAATATGAGTGGCTTGGTCATGTTGGTAATTTTTATACCCTAAACCAAGTGGTTTACGCTAATACTGATGAATAATATGCAATATTAAGAGAATTTGAGACATGAAAAACTTAATGCCCGTGCCTAAAGTATATAATGAAAAAGGCGTTTTTATGAGAAAAAATTTTTCCGGTAAAATTTATGAACTGCTGGCCATAAAACTACTAGCATGTGATCTTCTTCATTTTCATTACGCTTCATTGCTGTAATATAATTTATGAGAGTGAACGTGATAAGCATCTTTTCTGTCTATATAGAGCAACAATAATGAAGCATGATGTAAATCAATTGCGAGACTATAGGTGTACCGATCAGATAATTTCTCCGCATGAAACAATTAGCACAATTTGATACCAGTAGAGGAGTTTGGACAAACAACGTTTATCAAGTCAAGCATCCGTTTAATTAATTTCTCTCGTGTTTACTCGAGCAAAACGCCCTTACACAGTACAAATTTAATCAATACACGTTGCAATTAAGCGATGAGCAGCCAGCGATGTCGGTCATCCTTTTTTTGCATGGCAGAAATTCGAGTTTTTCCTTGTTGCAAGATGTCAACCTAGTTTTCTAATTTGAGAAACAAGGCGAACGCTTAATCCATTAAGCCCGTCCTCTCGCTCCCAAAACAATTACATCTAATGACTGTTTCTTTTTCTTTCACTCGAACCTCTTTTGTTGCTGACAGTCATCAAGTTCAGAAATATTACCGGCATTGTTATGATTGCAAAAAATGTCGCATGAAACGAATAAGTTCAGCAACGGAGATAGTTTATTATAGAAGAAATTGCTATGTCATAGTACTTTAATGAACATGGTTTTTCACACAACATAAAAGTGTTGCGTGATAATATTTAACATTAATTAACCAGGCCATCACATCAAAACAAACTCATTTTTATAAGTTGTAATTCTATACCTGTCTTCAGTGTTTATTTATGCAGTTTGCCCTTGATGCCGACAAAATAATTTGCACTTGCACTTGTGCAGTAAAAAGCTAGCTTCGTTTTACCTTATTTTTTATGGTAAGTGAATAATTGTATGGTTAATGATCCCGTCGCAATGTTGTCTCGAAATTATAGCAACATTATTTAATGGCCCCATCCTGAAAGGTATGTTGACCCTCTGAAGCCCTTGCTACCAGTTATCTCCCCGTAATCCTCCGTCAACGCGGCTTCCAGGATACCCGCGACGTCCATTCCAGCCAATATCATTCTATGTCTTTGGAAACCACAAACGGCATAAAATAAATCGCGTAAGCCAATATAACTATGAGTGCCGTTATGATGAATTTGTGCCCATTTAGAAGGGTGCAAATACTCGAGGCCTTTATCTTTGTATTCTTCTTCGACCAGTAACAAAAAATATACAGTACGAGTTATAATCATTTCTGTTTCGTGCTTCAATAAAGCCGTCTTGTTCAAACAAAAACCTTTTCCGCCGTTGGTGCATGAAGGTAAGATGTCAAAGACCCTTAGCTTGTAAATGTGGAATTATAGCTCAGTTTTACTCAGTATGCATTTAATGTCTTAATTCCAAATGATTTACGAATAAAATGTACCGATGTTTGAGGCATTCTAGCAACGGCCTCAAATAATCTTCCACTCGAAATTTGTGTGGCTAATTCCAAGCAATTCGAAAACTTCCGTCTGTCATATTAATAGAATTATATTTTCTAGCTTTTCAGCTCCCTCTCCCTTTAATTCTAGGTTAATGTTCGTTTCTAAATAGCGCAGTATATATAGCCGCTGCTTCGTGTTTAACAAATTCTGCAAAAAATCCCATCCATAGAAGCCTCCAGCTTGCCATTCCTTCATTTTTATCCTGTAATTACTCATGCCTAATTGCAAACGAAAAACTCACAGCAAAACACAAAACAAGCCAATAAAGTGTTTTATTAGCGTTAGAATGACCTCGCCTGCATCTTGTATCCTGAAATGTCACTTTATTTTCCTTAGAAAATCGAGCAAATGTAATTATCTCGGAATATGTTTTATTTATAATATTTAATTTTTCATAGGCTGCCTGACGTTAAAATTGTTTAATGGCGAGCTAAACATGCTACATATATCTAGTTCATGTGTCCTAGATTTTTTTATTCATCAATAATTTTGCATCCATCAATGCCTCCCAAAAGCGTGGTGCAAACTTTGTTTCTCACGTAGTTTTTAGGCTTTCTTCGTTTACATGTTATTATTGTATCAAAAAATCATCAAGCAGGAACATATTGAATAACATTTGCCATTGGATTCTTGAACATAGATCGCTTTGGCCTTTAGCTAATCATTATAGTGACACGATGATTTGAACCAACACGACGTTTTAGCGTTCACCTCTACAGCATGCGAATTTTGATCTAAATTATAATTCATTTTTTGAATCTGCAAGCTCGAACATAATTCGGATTACTATTTGAATACAAAATAATTCATACATAGCTATATTTATTAATCACTCTATATTCCTTCATGCCACAAATATGATTTAAACGAAAAAGACCCGTTTTAGATAAAATTTGATCAATATATTAGACCTGTCGTTTAGTGCACGACAACAGTGACGTAACGCTCACCACATATATATAATGAATTATTTTGTGGATGGTCTCAAGTTCGTCAAAAATATATTTGTACCTGGCTTGTAACCGAGCTAGAGCTGATAGTACACTGAGGAGCATAATTGAACACGTTGAGTGCGGTACGGCCCACCGGTGTGTTGCAGGGTCTTTTTTTCAGGACAAGTTCCGCGATTTCGTTTTTTTTCAATTGCGTTGGCTAGCAGAAATTTATGATGGTGGTACTTACTTATTTAATTTTAAAAAGTACAAGACAATTGAAAATGAATTTGGCAGCGGAACCTACAAATTTACCAGTAAATATTGAATTTTAGGCCTTTTTTCCACGGACCTGACCGTTTTAGGCCGTATGGCGACCCTAGTGGGTCGAACCGCACTCAACGTGTTAATGTGCGATACTTTTCGGTTGTTTAAGAAATTCTGAGCCTCGCCCAAGTCAAAAAACGGCGGGTAGACG